GTCCCATATCATAGGTGCGCGCGAATCCCGAGACTTACGGTCTCCGTCCCCGATTATGGCTCCTGATGTGACCCATTTATTCAAGTGTGGTCTATTTTACCAAGTGTGACCCATTGGTTTCTAAGTGTGACCCATTTTTCCCCCTGTGACCTATTTTTGCAAGTGTGACCCACTTTTCTAAATGTGACCCATTTTTCCCTATGTGACCCAATTTTGCAAGTGTGAAGCCCTTTTTTCTTAAGTATGATCTATTTTTCCCTGTGTGACCCACTTTTCTGAGTGTAACCCATTTTTGCCTGTGATCCAGTTTTGCAAGTGTGATCCACTTTTCTAAATGTGACCCATCTTTTTAATGTGACCCATTTTTCCCTGTGTGACCCATTTTTCCAAGTGTGACCCATTTTTCCATGTGTGACCCATTTTTCCATGTGTGACCCATTTTTCCATGTGTGACCCATTTTTCCAAGTGTGACCCATTTTTTCATGTCCGACCCATTTTTTCATGTGTGAGCCACTTTTCTAAGTGTGACCCAGTTTTCCAAATGTGACCCATTTTTTCAAGTGTGACCCATGTTTCCAAGTGTGACTCTTTATTCCAAGTGTGACCTCTCTTTTCCAAGTGTGACTCATTTTTCCATGTGTGACCCACTTTTCTAAGAGTGACACATTTTTCCATGTGTGACCCACTTTTCTAAGTGTGACGCATTTTCCATGTTTGACCATTTTTTCAAGTGTGAACCCCTTTTTCCAAGTATGATTTATTTTTCCAAGTGTGACCCATTTTTCCAAGTGTGACTCATTTTTCCAAGTGTGACGCATTCCAAGTTTTACCTATATGTCCGAGTGTGACCCATTTTTCCTAGTGTTACCTATTGCTCCAAGTTTGATCCTTTCTAAGTGTGACCCACGTTTCGAAGTGTGACCCATTTTTACAAGTGTGACTCTTCCAAGTGTGACCCATTTTTCTAAGTGTAACTAGTTTTTCAAGTGTGACTCATTTTTTTTAAGTGTGACCCATTTTTCTAAGTTTGACCCGTTTTTTCAAGTGTGACCTTTTTACCAAGTGTGACCCGTTTTTTCTGTTTGGCAATTTTTCTCAAAAGCGTCCCACAACAAGCCGCGTATCACTTAGCCTGCGAACGCAGAAGTATTTTCGGCTATTGCTTGTCTCCGCCGAAAAATATCTCGAGCTTCGATCGCTTGAAATTTATAATTTTATCGGCATCCAGGATCTTTCTTTTTAACGCTGTTCAAACTATCCGAAAAGAGTAGCAGCAATAACTTGTCTTTCTTTCTCGAAGATTGAAACCACGATGACCACGATGGATCCACGAACCCGCCATTTGCAGCAGATAGATCAGAAAAAAAATTCTGCGATGTCAGCTTTGAAAAACGGAAAGGAATCTCTCGTGGTTTACGAAACAATTCGCTCGACACGGCAAATCAAATTTGGCTCGAATCGAGCGACGGTCCGCGATTTTGATCGATAGAAGCGAACAGAACATGGATTTTCCGCCATGCTCTATTGCGCGCCACCCATTCTTTGATCGAATTTCGCGGGATGCATATACAGCGAAGCCTTTGGTTGTAATATTATCTATTCAACCGTTTTTTTAACCAGGCCATATATGGTTGGTGATCTAGTTTATCGCATTAAATTATTCTGTCAAACACAATTTAATCTGATTAGCAAAAGCACCATCACGTCACCGCAAATTAGAACCCATGTCCTGCTGGGTATTTCAGAGTCTCATGAATCTTGTCATGACAGCAATGGTTACTAGCTAAGCCCAGTCGTGTTTTGTTGACATGGCAAAGATGACCGGTGCGTTACGAGGATGGTGGGGAAAACCGACAGGAGATAAACACAAGTCACAGGACTAGATTTCTGTAGCTGTGTTCTACCAGCCCAATAAAATTGGAACATTCTTCTTTTTGGACTTTTTGTGAATCGGCAGAGCATATGTTGAATGAATGTACAGATGAGAAAGGGTCGTCATTTTCCAATAAAAAAAATGATAAAGTTACTTACTAAGGGTGCGTTTCTTTAAGAAATCCAAGATTGGAATCTTAAATCCGAAAGAATCCGAAAACGGATTTTGCGTTTCTTAACTAAACAGATCAATCCAAGATCACTCGGATCATGGTGCGTCAAAGATATAAGGTGGATTCTTGACACTCTTGACAATTTTTATTTCAAATTTTAAAAAGTCGCATTTATATGAAAGAAAAATTCTCTAGGGAATATCACGTGGTTTACAATGGGAAAACAAACCGCCCAAACTAAATAGGTCAATTCTTGTGTTCTTGTCAGGCCACTTAGAATTAGCTAGTAGCAAGAGGTTTTGGGTGGTTATTAACTTCAGTTCATCTTTTCATTGCCACTTAAAAGAACACTTCCTTTAATTTACCATAGCCGGATCCACGGCGTTTTTTTTTTTGCCAATGGATCTGCATAAATTTATGATCCCGAAAAAGCCCATAGATTGATTCCCTAAGCTGTCCGAACTTTATTGCAAAACCTACCGCTAAAATGAAACGCGCACGAACTGATTTTGCAGCAGTCTTGGCAGTAATACTCTTCGAAACATTGCCCGGCAGAAGATACATGCAGTTTCTGTTTGAACTGAATCTTGCTGGTCTGCCTCAAAATGTTCAGGAAACAACATCATCTTGTAAATTGTTTATTTGCCCGCTTGAGTTTTAATAAACTAGAACCTACATCTTTGCAATTTTAATTTAGTAGGTAAATTCAAACAGTCTAGCTCTGTATTCTTTCTGGACCTTTCTGATTTCTCAGGAATGACCGAAGTAAAGTTATCAAATGAAAGTGTTTGTGAAAAGGTGTTTCATTTGAATGGCAGATTATAGTCTCATCTTCAACAATAGCTCTTTAATTCTGATGTCGAGTAGGTTTCCGATCTGTTGCTTGTATTCTGTAAAATACACCTGACACATTTTTTTCCAAAACCAATCGATGAAGTAATCTTTGACCAAGAAATGCAAGTATCGATATCTTGTCATCGATTTTTTTTAAAAAAAAATTATCTATGAGTAGTTTAAAAATGATTTTAGTATAAACATTTAAACTTGATCTATTGGCTCTATGGAAAAAGGTTTGCCACTGACTCTTGATATTTTTCAACAGACGTTTCGGCTAATGCTAAGCCTTTATCAGTGATATGAAAGCGAAGTTCGTTGTTCGTCATTCGTTATTCGTTGTTGGCCTCCTGCAGTAATTAAACAATACTTCCAAAACATGTTTTCCTGCTATTTAAACTTATTGTTGCGGTCAAACACAGGTTTGACTGTTTATTTGCATCTCCAGAAATATAAATTACCCATAAACAATCCTTTAATAAGACAGTAAACAACACAATCTACAATAACAAAATTTGGATCATTCCGCACATCGACATATTTCATTATATTTGCTCTAAGAGGAAGAAAATTCACAAACTACAACTAACCAATTTTATTTTGACCTGTCGAAAGAGTTATTAAAATCAGATTGCATGCTATTGATTGAATAACACAGCACCTTCAAGACTGTTATGTTTCATGTGACTGTTTCTTGCTCGAAGTCGACGATTTCGGCTTCTGTGTTACGAAGACAGAATTCAGAGCAAGATTCAGAGCGAACCTGATTCTTGTCATCCTCACAACGAGTGGACATTTGAATCTTAGAACGATTTTCTCGTTGTGTTCCTGTTGTCTCAGTGTCTGATGGTCCGCTTTCTACCTGTCTAAACCGTACAACGTCGAGCATAGCGCGACGAAGTTTCTTACAACGCCAACTGTAAATAACAGGGTTTAAAAGAGAACCAAATGAAGCTAAAGTTACACACCAGCTCCAAAGAAGATAATTAACATGTGGTTTTATGGTTGCATTTGAAGCAACGACCAGTATCGAGATCATTGTAGGAAGATAAGTAAATGCTAACGCAACCAAAATGATAAATAGAGTTTTGGTAGCCTTGTAGTCTTTCTTAATTTTTTTAGCTTCTTCATGAGTTAATTGTTCTGTTCGTATTCGTTTCTGCTGACGTTGTGTTTCGAAGAAGATATATCGGTTACAGTGAATGATAATAGCAATATAAACCAGACCGATAAAGGCAAGTATAGAATCCTTAGTAAGCAAATAGACTGAAAGATCGTCTATCAGGACAGCAAAAGTGATCTTGCCAAGTGCCACAAGAACTGTTATTGCCCAGATGAAGAGTACCCCAATGTTTAACCTGTCTTTTGTAACAATTTCTTGATAACGCAAGGGATGTTTGACAGCGATATAACGATCTGCGCTGATTAAAGCCAAGTGACTTAGCGAGGCGAAGCTTGTTACGCCTGTTGCAACAGCACACGTTGTTTCCAGAGTGCAGAGTGATCCAACGCCAAGGATTCGCTTCATTAGTGCGGCGATCTTCACTGGATAAACTGCTAGTCCAGTCAACAAATCTGTCCCTGCTAAACTGGACAAAAGTATGTTCATGTTGGTACGCAATCGCCGCTTTGTTAGCACGAGAAAGATGACCATTGTATTTAACAGAATGATGGGCACAACTGACAGCGAATTGATGCAGATTATAGCAAGAAGATTGCTGTAGGTTTGTTCCGTGAGGAAGGTCTCTTGCCAAACGCCAGAATAAACCTGAAGGAAAAAACAGTCTTCTCTTTCTTGATCAGAAGACTCATTGAATAACGGTGGAGAGACGGTCGTCATTTTGTACTGATCAAAAATGATAGTTAAAAGTACAAAGCGACACAGAAACTAAACAAATCTAGCTGGATACGCGAAGAACGACTGCTTTGGGCTGTTAACGAGACAGTAAGAAGATTTGTAATGGCTGCTTTAAAGCGCACTTTAATTTCGAGGATTAAAACAGATCATCCAGTAAATTTCAGCTAATATAGTTTTTAATCTGTGGTGAGTAGATATCCTGGTCATCATGCGTATTCATGTATTATATCAAACATGAAAGACCGTGTTTGACCACATTTCCAAACACCGAGAAGAGAGTTGAAAATACGACGCGCAGCGGAGTATTTTTGACGAACTTCTCAATCGAAACTAAAACTAAGGAGAAAACGGAGAAATAAAATCGTTCAAATCTATGCTAATTAAGATCAGATATCCAAACACCGTCACGGTCATGATTTCCTTTGTTTAAACTTAATGAATTATTAATGAGTTTGAGAA